TAACATAGGAGTGCTACAATCACACAGATCATTTTTACGCGTACAAGAAAATTTTCCTGAAGTTTTCATCCTATATGTTGTACCTTCTACGTTAAACTTACATACATATATGCACAATGGTCATTATAGGAAACGAGAAAGAGTAGCTAAACCTACGAAAAACAAAATCCTAATAATCGTACAGTTTTATTGTGTATTTAATATTATTCGTATAGTAAGGTGCGTTATACAGGGTGCCCCAGCATAAAGCGAACACCTATGTAAATATCTCCATTGTTTTTAACGATATTAGAAATGTTTAAAACACAATTTGAACAATTTCGAAGGAGGAATTACCGTGGAAGGATTTTCGTTTACGATCACTGTTTTTAATTTTTTCAAGGTCACCCATCGTTGTCACAGAGAAGCATATACTTCTCTCTATTATATCTTGTAGCGGATATTAAGATGCGTTCAAACATGCTTGAGTTGTGAACTTGGGATGACCTTGAACGCCAAAAGAAAAAAAAAGTGATCAAATTCCAAGCAGTCTTAGGATGGTACGTGAACTTACTGTTTATGTTATAAATGCTCATAGTGATGTCTCCACTTGGGGGGCGATACACTTTCTAAACCCAGCTGTCACGGATTGTGATCCTCTTTCAATTATTTCTGGCGTGATAACAGCACAAGCTCTAATTATTCATAAGCAGCCTTTACTCAAGTACTCAATGAAATATTCCCAAATCATTGGATTGTACAAGAAACACACACACACACACACGCGCGCACGCGCGTACGTACACAACAGCTGGCTGCACTTAAAAACAACCTTGACGAGTTGACGACTATTGTGCGATAATAGATAATCGAATCAATGTTATTTTATTCTTCGGAAAATTTTTTTTTTCTTTTTTTTTTTGCATCACCGTTACACCACTTCCGGCACTACTCTCATTTTTCCTTTTGCGCGTGTTTTCGACGTTTCATTTCCATCCGTCCTCTGGTGAAAAAAAAAAAGACAAAAAAGAAGATAAAACTTCCCAAATTGTTGGATTGGACGTAATAGGCGTAAGTATGTACGTCTTTTGCCTAGGCACGTTCGCCGGATCTTACGACACCATTAGACTTTTTTTTTCTTCAGAGAAATCTAAAAGAAGATGCTTACCGACAACAGCAACCACTGCCATTCTCTACCAGACGACATGGTAAATCGCAATAATTAAAAAGCTAGCGCTGTTGCTGTCACGTCAGAAACAATTGGAAGAGTATGATAATCCGTGATTGCTCGTTTTAGAAAGTGTATCGCCGGCGAACGGAGACCACTTTGAGCATTTATAACATAAACACAGCAAGTTCCTACGACTAACTTGGAATTTCATCACTTTTTTCGGTATTCAAGGTCATCTCAAGGTCATAATTCAGATATGTTTGAATGCACCTTAATATCCGCTACGAGATGCAATAGAAAAAAGTATATTCTTTCGTGCAAACGTTACCGGTGACCTTGAAAAAATTAGGGAAAAAAGGAATAATTTCCTTACAAGATATTCCTTCTTCGAAATCATTCAAATTGTGGTTAAAAAACATTTCTAATATCATTAGAAACAGAGTAATGTCTCTGCACTGTATAAGGTAATATAGACTTCATTATAAACATTATGTGTTCTTTCATTAATATTGTCAAGAGCAAGAATAAGTAAACTTCCTTTTTTATCTGATAAATGGAGAGATAAAATCCACCCCCTCCTCCGAACATAGTAAGGTTCAACCATATTTGTATATACTGCGAATAAAACAGAAATTAACAAGTACGGAAATATACACTTCCCTTTACGTTAAAATACAATTGGTAGTGAAGTATAAATTTTAGTCGTATGAACAAAACCGCGTAAAGACGTGTGTTCGAAATGAAGTCAAATTTAATAATTACCAACAATTTTTCTGTCTAATATATTTTATAATATTTCGAAAACTATCGCACGTTTTTTGTACGCTCTTGAATATAACTACATGGTATTAAATATACGTCCGACAGTAATTTTTCAAAAATATACGTTACCATTTACTCATGATATCTTGTACATTCCCTCAAACCAGAATCAATGGCAAAAGAAAAAATTAAAAAGTTCTAATATACGTATATCCTAATGAACTTGGAATATCACTATAGACAGGAAAGATACCACGAAGTGTATTAAAAATTCCACAAAGCATGTTTAATTCGAAACACTACATTCATTTGGAGCACAAAATTCGAGATGTATACAATTCCACCTAACTTTATGCACGTTAATCCATTTGAAAATATATGTAATCTTAATTTTCACATACTTTTTTAAATTTAAATTTAAAAAAGCAATGCTGTGCTTTGATAAGGAACTTGATAAGGGAAACAATGTCTGTCAAGAAAATACAGTCAAGGAATAATCGAAAATATATGAAATTCAAATCGAATACGAAAATTGCCATAAATCGAAATTTAAATCGAAGAAGCGGGGTTTGCACGAATAGGAAATAACAAAAAACAAAGTTGAAACAGAAAAACTGCGTTTTGTTTTTCAAAAAAAAATTGTGCTTTGTATGAGTAGTAAATCGTAAGAAGACAGAATCAACGAATTACATTTGATATAGGTAAGTAAAAAATTTTAAAAATTAAGATAAAGATAAAGCTTTCATAAATTAATAACTTTGTCCTATGTTTAAAAATATTATAAAAAATGAGATTTATAGTACTTTTTTCACATAAACTTTTGTTACATTACAAATTTCAGCACATTTGTTACACTTCAAGTGTTAACGATGTAAAAGTCAGAAATTTAAGCGAGAAAATTTAAAAATTTGAAATGAGAAGTTAAGAAAGATAAATTTAGAGAGAAAGATAACTGAAGCAAGTTAATAAAAGAGTTTGCTGCAATGCAATGAAAACAACACATTTATTACGCGCCGTATACTTTGCAAATTCAAGACAAATGTAAAAAAAAATATCAATACGGCAACATCGAATTGCTCTTCTCGATCAACGTACTTCACAGATAACTGATAAGGTATTCGATCCTTGTATGATTCACTTACATAACAGTGGGCGTGTACTCAAAATTAAATAGTCGAAATCCTCGGACGTGATTTTTAAGGCAGTACAAAAATAAGTATTAAAATTTTTTAGATTTCATTCGCAGAGAAACAATATCAATGGAGTCTATCAATACCAATGTCAATATCAATATTGTATATATCACAATGTATCACAAAGTGGAAGTCTTCAAGTTGAATCGATTGAAAAATGCATCTAAGCCTAAATGTCACTAACATTAAATAATAAAAGTGGAAACGTGGTAAAGAATGTTTTAAAGAAATGTTTTTGTACACCGATGTATGTGCGCCGCACCGATGTACACGGGCACATATTGATTACAAACGTGTAGTGACTGCCTAATAAAAGAGAAAAGGATTTTAACGAAAGATTTACACAAAGGATAACAATTAGCGCGTTCTTATTACTGACTACAATGTCGTGAACCATTGATTTCATTGGCTAATTAAAACATAATATAATCGTTTATATGGAGATACTGTAACGAAAACAAGGTTGATATAATGTAAAAGAACGAGCACGTCACTATGGTTCAACAGTGGTGTTCGGGTTCGCTTGTTCTCTAGTGGTAAACGTTATGAGAAACGCGAGGAAAGACGATCGAGTTATAATTCATCTATCCTTGATACGTGTAACAATATTTTTAAGACATGTAACAATTATATAACATACGTACGATTTTGTTCGTTAATTAATCACACGCTGCGTTGTTATCTCTTCAAGTTCACACGAAAAGTGGCCGGAATAACATATCGCATATTATTAGATTCGCTATTTCAGGATCTTGAATACTCTCCAGCACGCTCCCACACTGCTCCGGTCACCATTATAAAATGCGATTCTTGAGTAGCAATAAAAAAACCTTTACTCGCCGGTGAGCACAGAAGAGCACACGGTACAATATCGTCAAAACATAGTAAAGTCCGTAGAAACAACACCTTTACAATCGTCAAAGACAAAAGGAACACGACACACAGAGTCTAAATACGCAGGCAGTCAGGTATAGTGATATAGCACAGAAAAATAACAGAAATAACACTAGGTCGGTAACTTCAAGACACCATGAAACACCACGTAAACACGTTATTCTTGATAATCTTAAAACACGGTTCAAGTACGTGTAAATGATGAAGACACCGAGAACTGCAAGAAACAGCAGAGAACGTGTAAAATGCCCGGAGAGCCAGAGAACGTAAAACAAGAAAACTACCACGCCACGGATAAACGAATCGATGAGTGACCGCGAACGAACGAATGACCGATTAGAACACACTTTAAATGTTGAAGATGAATGTTACGATCGACGGACAGCACATAATATGACGGAATTATTCTTGGCTACAATGCTATCAAAATGCATGGTTTCACTAATTACACTTTGTAACACCACTACATAACTGTTTAGGCCTAGATACAGGTGCAGAAGTTTTCTCTCTTTTTCCATTGCACTTCTTCCTGTTTATCCTATCCGAAAAATAAACGGAATAAATGGAAAGAGGCGGTGAAAGAGAGGGCAGAGGGGAGATGAAGAACAAAATGCATTTTATAATGTAAATTAACAGTATACGTACAAATATTCTAACTAATATGAGAGAATGAAAAGGATAAATTACACACATTTACACATATTGTTCAAAAGGAAACTAGAAGGAAAGAACCATGTGTGTGTGTGCGTGTGTGTGTGTGTGTGTGTGTGTGTGCGCGCGCGCCCCTGTATGTGTGCATGTACGTGTGCGCGCATATGTGCACTAAAAAAGAAAGAAAGAAAGCAAGAAAAAGAACCCGAGGAATATGTTTTGATAATTTTTCTTGTACACCAACATTTCTTTTGTCGATCACTGGTCGTTAAGAGTTTACACTCCTTAGAGGAGTTTAACACGAACAAGAACGTATCGGTTAATTTCACCACACATTTCTCTCCTCTTACCCGAACTAGTCCGTGATATTCCTAAGCGGCGACCGCGATGATTAAAAAACACTCGCGTTTTACATTCGCGCCCCAACGAAGGGTAGTCGAAAACGTACGGTCAGTCCAACGTTTTCAGGGCCGCCAGGTTAACGTCACGAAATCCACCGACACAACCATAGATCCAAACGGTGGACGGACGGACGTAAGGACGGACGGCTGGCTGGCAGCAAGCAAGGCGGAATCGCAGAGAGGTCCGGGGGAAGGGGCATTGAATGTGACGGGGTAAGGGTAAAGTTTCTGGATACGGGGCAGGTGGGGTCATAAGGGACCGGGGACGTATGAGTTGGAGTGGGGTGAAAACGAACGAGAACGAGCGAGCAACCAAACCAACCGACGACGTAGCGTCGCGGGGGACGGAGGTCTACGCTAGCTCAGGACCGTTTTATTCTGGTCCTAAAGGTGCCACTACTCATCTCCTTGCTCATTTTTCTATTTTCTTTGCCATTTTCACGTATATTATTGTAATGCTTATTAAACAGTCGATTTGCGTATGCGCAACGTACGTAAAATTTCTAATACAGCAAACAAATGAAAAATACGGAATGCTTATTTTGCATGTTAACGGCACGCCGAAAAGAGAAACACATACATACATACATATGTATGTATGTGTGTACACCTCAAAAGATCTCCACGACTTAAAGGCGATAGTTTAGAAACAAAATCTAGTGAAATTCGGTGAAGAATCTGAGTCTGCTTATTATTAGTAGTTACATATTACTGTTCCATACGGTTTAAATACGGTCATTTACGTGATTTCAACGTAAAATTAGAATTTTTAAATTGTTTTTATTATACATACAATAAAACGTATTTTATGTTTTATAATTTCATTTGAAATGTGATTTTTTTAGAAATCTATAAATAATGATCTATACTTATTAAAAAAATGTAATAAACATGCGGAGTACTAAAAAAACATATTCAAAACTTCTAAAATGACTTAAAATAACAAAAATTTTCATAATTGTTCATCTAGTTATAATAAATTACTTATATATACATATGTATATATGTAGTTAAGAATAAAACCTAATGGTATCCAATCATTCTGTATAATATATTAGTCAAAATGAAAGACAAATTTTATAAATATTATACTATTCTTCAATCACCAATTTGATCTAAATTTGTTACAGTTATTACAAAACAAAAAACAAATATTGTTATTTATTGTTAAGTATCAACGTGTGCATTGAATTCTTGTTTATTCATCGCTTTTATATGCATACATATGTACATATATACATACACACATATCTTACTAAAGGTAACATATCCACCTTATAATGCAACGCTACATATGTATTTGAATGAAATTTATTTTTAAGTGCTTTTGCAGTCACGTTTAATTTCTAATAATAATAAAATTATTTTATATCGAATGTATACGCAATGTATACTAAACCAGTATGTACGGCACTGCATTGGGCACAAGCAAACTCGCTGCCTTTACGGCCGGGTAGAAGGGAAGAGATGGGTTGGGAAGGGAAGAGGAGAGAAATGAAGAGAAGGGAA